TTCTTATTCTGCTTAGCATACTACACTCTAGTTCCATCCATATTGTTGCAAATGTCAGGATTTCATTATTTTTTGATTGCTAATATTCCACTGTATATGTATCACATCTTCTTTATCCATTCATCAGTTGATAGACACCTTGGCTCTTGCCATATTTTGGCCATGGTCGATATTGTGAATCACAGATATGAATGGCATTTAGAATGCTGACTCCTTTCCAGAAGGTTTTTAATTTACATTGCCCAGAGGAATCACTGTATATGGCAGCTAGAGCTTTACAAAATGTATTTTTTTAATGTTTTGTTTATTTTGGGGAATTGTGAGAATATGAGTGAGAGGGAGGATCTGAAGCAGGCTGTATGCTGAGAGCAGAGAGCCTGATGCATAGAGCTTGAACTTCTGCGCTGTGAGATAATGACCTGAGCTGAAACCAGAAGTTGGACACTTAATTAACTGAGCCACCCAGGTACCCCAAAATGTATTTCTTAAATAAGACTTGAAAGTCAAAATTACTCTCCAATCCATGGGCTGCAGAATGGGTGCTGTGTTAGCAGGCAGAAACATTAATATTGTACATCTCTGTCAGAATTCTTGGGTGACCAGGTGCTTTGTGAATGAGCAGTACATGTCAACAGTGGGCTTAAAATGTCCAGTAAGTTACGTTATAAACAGATGTGTTGTCATCTGGGCTTTAAGAGCACAGGCAGAGATTTAGATATTTTAAGGTAATTTAAGATAATTCTTAAGCACCCTAGGATTTTTGGAATGGTAAATGAGCATTGGTTTCAACTTAAAGTCACCAGCTGCATTAGCCCTTAACGAGAGTCAGCTTAAATATTTATTTATTTGGAGAGAGAGCGAGAGCAAGCTGAGGAGGGGCAGAGCTAGAAAGAAAGAATCCCAAGCAGGCTCCATGCCCATCATGGGGCTCAGTCTCACAACTGCTAGATAATGACCTGAGCTGAAACTGACAGAGCCAGCCAAGTGCCCCAGCCTGTATTTTGAAGCTATGAAGCCAGACATTGACTTCTCTAGCTAGGTAAATCCTAGATGGCATCTTCTTTCAATGCAAGGCTGTTTCTTCACCATTGAAAATCTGTTGTTTAGTGTAGCCATCTTCATTAATGTCTTAGCTAGACCTTCTGGGTAATTTGCAGCTTCTATATCAGCACTTCTGCTTCACCGTGCACTTTCATGGAACTGAAGTTGGCTTCCTAACTATAAACCTCATTGAGGTTGCTGGCTTCCAACTTCTTTTTTTACAGCTTCCTCACCTCTCTTAGCCTTCATAGAATCGGAGAGAGTTGGGGCCTTGTTCTGGATTAGGCTCTGTCATAAGGGAATGTTATGCTGGTTTGATCTTCTATCCAGACCAATTTTTGTTTTGCATGGGTCTCCTCTGGCAAGGGCAACAAAAGCTAAATTAATAGGGGTGCCTGGGTGCCTCACTTAAACATCTTTTTTTTTTTCTTTTTTTTCCTAAATGTTTTATTTATTTCTGAGAGAGAGAGCGTGAGCAGGGGAGGGTCAGAGAGAGAGGGAGACACAGACTCTGAAACAGGCTCCAGGCTCTGAGCTAGCCATCAGCACAGAGCCCAACACGGGGCTCGAATCCACGAACTATGAGATCATGACCTGAGCCTAAGTCGGAAGCTCAACCATCTGAACCACGCAGGTGCCCAATTAAATATCTAAGTCTTGATCTCAGGGTGGTGAATTCAAGGCCCGCATCCAGCCATTCATTGGAATCCATACAGGGTATAAAGCCTACTTAAAAAAACAAAAAGCAAAATAAATGAGATTACATCAAGCTAAAAAGCTTTTGCACAGCAAAAGAAACCAACAAAACAAAAAAAAACCTACTGAATGGGAGAAGATATTGGGAAATGATACAGTTTTTTAATTAAAAAAATTTTAATGCTGGTTTATTTTTGAGGGGGAGAGAGAGAGCGTGAGTGGGGTAAGAGCAGAAAGAGAGGGAGGCACAGAATCTGAAGCAGGCTAAAGCCTATGAGCTGTCAGCACAGAGCCCAAAGCAGGGCTCCAACTTGCAAACTGTGCGATCATGACCTGAGCAGAAGTTAGATGCTCAACTGACTGAATCACCAGGCACCCATGGAAATGATATATCTAATAAAGGGTTGATAACTAAAATATATAAACAACGCCTGCAACTCAATAACAACACAGGAAAACCAACCCAATTAAAAAATGGGCACATGACCTATATAGACATTTTTCCAAAGAAGACCTATAGCTACAACAGATAGATGATAAAATGTTCAACTCGTCATCAGGGACATGCAAATCAAAACCACATATGCAATACCTCTTCACATCTGCCTGGATGTCAAGTGTCACAAAGACAAGAAATAACAAGTATTGGTAAGGATGTACACTGTTGGTGGGAATGTAAACTGTTACAGCTACTATGGAAAACAATATGGAGGTTCATCGAAAAATTACAAACAGAACTACCATATGATCCAACAGGTCCACTTCTGGGTATTTATCTGAAGAAAATGAGAATACTAATTCAAAAAGATATATGGACCTCTATGTTCATTACAGCATTATTTACAATAGCAACCTAAGTGTCTATCCATAAGTGTATGGATAAAGATGTAGTATACATATACACAGTGGACTTTTAACCATAGAAAAGAATGAGATTTCACCATTTGTGACAACCTGGATGGACCCAGAAGATACTATGCTAAGTGAAAGAAGTCAAACAGTAAATGGCAAATGCCATGTGATTTCACTTACATGGGGAATCAAGCAAGAATAACAGGAACAGGCTCCTAGAAACAGAGAACTGGTAGTTGCTAGAGGGGGACAGATGAAATAGGTGAACAGAATTAATAGATACAACTTCCAATTATAAAGTAAGTCATGAGCATGTACAGCATAGGGAATATTGTCAATAATATTATAACTTTGGTGAAAGATGGTAACTAGACCTATCATGATCAATGCGTAATGTATAAAAATATCAAATCACTATCGTACACCTGAAACTAATGTCAATTACAATCTACTAAAAAAAGAAGAGTGATAGACAACAAAACCAAAAGCCTCAGAAATACCCTGATAAAATGAAGTCAAGGATAAAAGTAAAATTTCACAAATAAGAACTAATATAATCCAATGAGCAGCTATGGGATTTCTTAGCTGCACATTGGAAGCTACAGGACCATGGAATACTACCTAGACTTAGGAAGGGTGAAAAGATAGCTACAACCTGAGTCTGAAATATCATTATGATAACATTTACCAGTCAGGGTGAAGGAAAGTTATTCACAGAGCTGTACAATTTTATAGACTATTTCCCATGTACCTCATGTATGGGAAATTCTTTAGAAAGGACTACTCAATTACAAAATAAATCAGAACAGCAACTTCAAAATCGGGGAAGATGGAGAACAAATAGTAATAAGCAATGATTCATGCAATGTATGTATAATTAAGTCTGAGTGGATGATGATATAGTGACTGGGAATTGGTAATGTAAATGCTAAATATTCTTTTTTTAAGTCTTTGCGACTAAGTAAGTAAAATACAGGACTATATTTAGCAGCTTTATTGCCCAGAGTCTTACTTTTAACCAGATTCGTAGATTTATGTTAATGTCATGCTAGCATGTGACATCTGGCAATATAATCCCCAATCAAGTCCAACTCCTTCTATTTGCCCATTTGGATAATGGCCTGGTTTCCTTCCTTGATGCCAGATATTCAGTATCAGTGACTTGTAGCACCTGCAGGTAAATAGGATTGTGAGAAAAATACTTACTGGTTGAGTTTAAACATTGAAAAGATAGTAGCATTAGGATTAGGGATAGTCTCCATAGGGGATAGATTAATCAGTAAATTTGAGGAGAGATTTCATTATGATATATAAAAATTGTAATAACTACTATTTGTTTATATGCCAGGGACTTAGACATGTTATATATGTTATCTCATATGATGCTCAAATAGCCTGTAAAGACAGGTTAGTATTACCTGTTTTTCACGTGAGGAAAATGCTTATTAAAAGAGTAACTTGTGCAGGTCTCATAGCTGGTATTTGGGTCAGGTTGCTTCTTTATGTTTTCAGTATTTCCCCCCCATACAAATATTAAAGATTTGAACCACTAATTCTTGTGTCTTTCAGGATTATAGTCTATGCTAGGAAATAACCTAGCACAATTTCTTCACTAGCCTGAGCTTTCTACTAGGGGCAGTGTGTAATTACAACATTCAGTGAATATCTGTGTACTAAACTTTGAGAGTGGAGAGGGAGTTGAGGAGGAAGGAGACCTCAAACAGAACCGTTAGAAAATTTAAGTACTCAAAGTTTACAACAGCCTACCATAGCACATACCGTTAATGATGATGGAGTTTCTCATCTCAGTGATGAGAAGCTTCATAATTGGACCTGGGAAAATGATATTTGACATTTTAAAGGGAAGATTATTTGGTTTAATTGTGAAATATGAAATCTCTCATGCTTTGTTTTTCCTTCTAAAATGTCATAGCTGGGGGTGCCTGGGTGGCTCAGTCGGATAAGCATCCGACTTCAGCCCAGGTCATGATCTCATGATTCGTGAGTTCAAGTCCCGCGTCAGGCTCTCTGCTGACAGCTGGGAGCCTGGAGCCTGCTTTGGATTCAGTGTCTTCCTCTCTATGTGCCCCTCTCCTGCTCGGGCTCTCTCTCACAAATAAATAAATGCTTAAAAAAAAAAAAAAAAAGGTCACAGCTGAAAATATAAATAACTCCCAAGTCTTGAAAACATTCTTGGGTTCTGAGTGACCATTTTAGGAAAGATCCAGAGTGAACACCATAACATTTATTTGTAATTTTTTGGTCATGGAATATATAGGCTGTAGGTCATCTGAGCCAACAGCTCTGGTTTTGGTTTTTGGGTCATTATGTTAATAGCATTCAGACATTTGTTCTTTTGATATTTCCCATCTTTTGATCATACTGATTTTTAATTTGTCTTTTATTTTCAGAAGGAGTTTTGGAACACCTACACAAAAGCACAGCAAGGAGAGAGTAGCCGAGGAAGTGACTGGTTTCAGTTTTACCTTACGTTTCCTTTAATCTTTGGCCTCTTCATTATCCTTCTTGTCATTTTCCTAATTTGGAGATGCTTCCTCAGAAACAAAACTCGCAGGCAGACAGTAACTGAAGGCCACATTCCTTTTCCTCAGCACCTTAATATCATCACTCCACCTCCCCCACCAGATGAAGTATTTGATAGCAGTGGATTGTCACCAGGCTTTCTGGAATATGTAGTTGGGCGCTCAGATTCGGTCTCCACTCGCCTATCCAACTGCGATCCTCCACCCACCTATGAGGAAGCCACTGGCCAGGTGAACCTCCGAAGGAGTGAAACAGAACCTCACTTAGACCCACCCCCAGAGTATGAGGACATCATCAATTCCAGCTCAGCCAGTGCCATTGCTATGGTGCCTGTGGTCACCACCATCAAATGAAACTGTAACCTTCTTTTTACCATAATCATTTTTAAAATACTAATGAAAGAACTTTCTAGCACTTTACCACTACATAAATTGTGCATTGACTTATTTTATTGGACTCTGACAGCATACCACTTTACATTTTCTGATTTGATTTTCATTAGTTTTGTTTCCTACTATAAAATCATCATCCATGCTCATTTTTGCTAATCAATCAAAATATGTGAAGAGGGAAAAATATTAGTGGAGGTCTTTACGTGATGTGATACACGTATGTGTATATGTATTTCTATGCATACATACGTGCGTGTGCATCAGCCCAGTAGATGTGCAAGTGTCTTAAAAAGCTATTAACTTCTAAATCACCTATAAAGAGAACATTACTCACCAAAATAAGGGGGCAGGGGGACCCCAACAGTTTGTATAATAGCCAGCCACCTGCTGTTGAATTTTGAAAATAAGATGAACTTAGCATGGTTTCTAATTCTTGCTGGCTTTTGTTAACCTCGTTCTTCTTCAACTACCTTAAAAAATGCATGTAGTCCATCTTGATTTTAGAAACATCTCAGAGAGAGCGAAGGCACAATAAGTGATCATTTGCTGATAGAGTCAAGCAAGAATATCATTGGTCATTAGTGGCACGCACTTAGCTAGTTTGGGAGGAAGGATTGTCTTGTTGACTCTGCCTTCCCTCAACTCCCGAAATTCAACCATGTTTGCTTAGTGTCTCTGAATATCTCATGCTGTTTGTATTAACGTCTTGGTTAAATACAGAGGGGATCCCCTGGCAACAGAATGGTTTCTAAAGCAGTTGTATGTATTAATGACGGGGAAGAGATACAGATTTCTCCTTTGCTCATTTGTGACAATTATTGTTTTCTTTTTGCAGTTTTAATGCCTTTTACTCTACTGTCTACTCCTTCTCTTACCACCACAGTATCTGTAAAAACGCAAGAATTTAGTTGAAATATTGAAATTATCTTCTTAGTTTTGTATAGAATGAAGTCTGCTTCAGGATGATTAGGAAGCGTTTTCCGTTTAAATTAAGAACTGTGATTGTTGTGTGGCTCTCCAGTCGGTAGAGGAAGACTGCACAGTCTCTTGTGCCAGGTGCACAGTCAGTTCGAGTTTCACACATTTTCATTCTTGTTGCTATTTCGTTTTGTATTTTCATCCAGTTTTTTAAAGTGCAGGATATTTACTTTGCTCTTGGAGTAAAGGGAACAGGCTATGAATGAACTGCCGACAGAAAGGAAAAGTAAGAGGTTGTTCCACTATGTAGGCACTGGTGGGAAATTCATTATATTGGTCACAGGGAAACGTGTGAGCCCTTCCCAAGCCTCCCTAGTGTTGGATAAAACGGTTAATGAGGCAGAAGGAGTGCAGGTTTCAGACGTGTCGGTCATACCCTGTCGCCTCCATCTCCATCCCCACATACCGCCTCCAGTCCTGCCCTGGAACCCAAGTTAGGAAGACTGCTGGGGGGAAACCCTGAACCAGGACTGATGACCCGAATTCTAATCCTGTTCTGTAAAAAAGGTACTTGCCATGGTACCGTGGGAAAGACCCATATCTGCACCTCAGATTCTTGAACTCTGAAGTGGATAATGTCGTTTGTCTAGCCCTTCTCCGGGGGCTTTAAAAGGATCTAATGAGATGGTATGTATGAAATAATTCTTTAGATGTAAAAAGCTGTCTATGTGTAAGGTAACAGCATTGTTCTTACTGTGCTTAAGGGACAATTTTCTCCCTGCTTCCCTAAAATTTATCAGAGCTGTCACATAGTGTGGAGTATAGAGTAGACTGCTCCATAAATGGCTAACGTGTCTTGGCTACTCACCTTCTGTCACTCTGGTCTATCCCAATGCTGTGCCAGTTTAAGAGATGATCGCCAGTTTATCACAAACAGGATTAAGTACATGTTGGAAAGAGAACCAAGATGTGTTTAGTTAATAGGTTTCCTATTTTTCATGAACTAAAAATTAATAAATCTTGACCCATAACTTGGCTTCTAGTTATAGCTGAAAGTGGGAGTGTTTGCTCCAGTGACCTGTGGGGCAGGCTATTTTGGCTCCTTTTTAAAAGAAAATTAAGGTCCCTTTTGTGTGGGCTTTTTTTTTTCTTCTTCTTCTTACCATTAACATTAGGCCTTAGGTTTAAAGCAATTTTTAAAGTATGGCTGGCCCATGAACACCTGGGAGCCCCTGAGAGCCTTTCAGGACATCTGTGAGATCAAAACTATTTTCATAATAATTCAGAGGCATTAGTTGTCGTCTTTTCACTCTCTCAAAAACAATGCCATTTCCCACAAATCTTTTTTTCTGCTTTAGGAAATATAGCTATTTTCTTACAAATGTTACTTACGTTAGCATGTAATAGATTTTTCATTTTTAAATAAATGCTTACAGGTTTTTTGGTTTTTTTTTTTTTTCCCTACTCTGGCAAATATTGATGGATGTAAAGTCCATAAACAAAAGCTCTTTGGCATCCAGCTCTCTCATAAATTTTAAAGAGTGTAGAGGGATCTGGAGACCCCAAGGTTTAGAATTACAAGGTTAGACAGAGGAGCAGGACGTCCTATTACTGTGTATATATTCTTGCAACTTTATTTTACATTTTAAGGTCTTGATATTGGACTTAATGCTGCCTCTTAATGATACCTGAATTGCAGTATAAGAAAGAGTATTGATTCTTGAAACAAAAGCCAAGTGCTTAATCAGTTAATACAGCTTTTTGGCCTGTTGGTCAAAGACAACACCCTACTCGGTAGTGATACTGATACCAGCCACAGTCCCCTGGCAGCATTCATGTGCTAAAGACACGATAACAAAATACCGCTTTCCTCAAGAAACATTTCTTCGTTCGTTTTGTTGTATTTTGATTTGGGTTTTACATTTTTCAAAACACTTTTGCTACCCCTTCTGGTTTTATAAACTGAGTTTCTTAACTTTTGTTATAATTAAAGGGGCTTGTCTGGAATAATAATCTATTTTTTATGCTTTTGCCTTTCTTATGTGATTGATACTACATTCACTTTTCGTCGTTTTTAATAAAGGTTTATTTTTGCAGATATATTTAGTACCTTTCTTAAGCAGTAATTAAATGGAAATCAGCCAGTTTGCCTTTAAATGAGAGAATGGGCTTAATGATCTTCCAATGGAATGATTTCCAGGCCTCCACGATGCAGTGGTGGTGTCTGGAATCCCAGAACTGGCACTTTTTTTCTGCCTTTCTGTTTGGAATATCACAGTGAATTATATCTGTTTAAAGTAAATTCAAGGATTTCTTTTTTTGATTATTGACCAATACAAATACAAATGCTGTGTTTGATTCATTGTTAACGACGACTTCAAGCTTGATGATCTGATACAATAACTGTGGAGGTAGCTTTAACTTGGTTCTGTGTAAATAGCATGTATTGTATTATAATTCACATTTTTAAACACTTGGTTTACATTAAATTATGGTATTTAACTATTTTTATGTTTATACTAGGTAAGTTTTTTCTTATGTTCCTGTGTTTTTGGTATGCTAAATAAAGCTATTTTTAAACCCAAGAGATTTGTTTTCTGCCATGCATTCTATCATGGTAAGGTGACCAAAATGCTGCATAAGCTTTCATTAATCATGGTCTTTTTAACAAGGGAAAATTGTTTCTTTTTTCTTATGTATTTAAGAACTGTTGCCCAGTAGTCATAAATTGTCTGGGGAAAACCTCAGGGTGTTCTCAGCCTAAGACACAATTTTCTGTGCTAACTTTTGAATGATGCTGCCATGATACAAAATGGGAACACTTGCTCCAGAGGGCCCTCTGTGCTGCCGTGTGGTTTGTCAAGTCTGGGGTATTGTGTCGTCTGCAGAGACCAAGTTGCTGGGGTGGGCTTTTTGTCCTCCTCTTTAACAGCTTGTATTTGACATTTGAGAATATGAGAAAGGAAAGCACAAGATGGAAACATTTGTGACTACAGGGCATCTTCCTCAGTGTAGTTCCCTCCAAGATGAAAAAGGCAATACGATACGTCATTGACCAAGCAAATGTAAATATGACTTGATCTTTATGGGATAAAGGTTAAAACGAGTCACTTATAATCTATACTTAAAATTTCCTCTTGAATGTAAGTCTGAGTATCCATTTTGTAAGCCTAAATCCCCCAAAGAGTGGTCTAAACTAAAAGGGTACTTTTTAAAAAATATATAGCAATTTCTAAAAATTACATAACGTACAGATTAATAGTGTACATCCATGAAACCCAACACCTAGATCAAGATATTTCTAGCACTGTAGAAGGCTCCGTCATACACCTCTCCTTAAACACAACACTATTCTCACACTTATCCTAAGAGATCAAGTTTTTAAATTTCATACTTGGCTGTGGCCATATGCACTTGACTCTTTTCCTTTTTAAAATTCTTATTTCAGAAAACTTCAAGGTCAAAGTTCCAGAGCTGCACTTCCATCCTTCTCCTTGAACCTACTCCTCTTCTAAACCTTTTCTACATGCCTGAAGCTCTTTGAGGGCAAGAATTATGTTTAATCCCTTTAACGGTCTTCCCCCAAAACATCAAATACCTAAAAGTGAAGGCTTTTTTTTTAAAATTGTTTTGGTATGTTTTATTTATTTCTGAGAGAGAGAGAGAGAGAGAGAGACAGCGTGAGCAGGGGAGGGTCAGAGAGAGAGGGAGATACAGAATTTGAAGCAGGCTCCAGGCTCTGAGCTAGCTGTCAGCACAGAGCTCAATGCGGGGCTCGAACCCACAAACTATGAGATCATGACCTGAGCCGAAGCCGGACGCTTAACCGACTGAGCCACCCAGGTGCCCCAAGTGAAGGCTTTTTTAAGCCTAGGTATTGATCAGAATATCAGTAGTTGTCTGTCTTGATGCTTGTGTTTCTGCTGTAATTCTTATCACCTATCATGTCCTTAAACTTTGTAGGATGACATTTTGTTCTCAGTAATTTTACCTACTTATATATGGTATATAATGTATATACATATATATAATGTATGTATATATTATATGTTATATATATATATATATTTTTTTTTTTACTTCAAATTCTGCCGTGATCTGGTCCCACGGGATTATCTCACTTTATTTCCTTCCACAGCTCAGGTAATAGATAGTTACAAAGTGCCTACTTGGTGTGAAAGTAGGGTTATAAGAAAATAATGGTGCTTAGAGATGTCATCCCTGGGGATTTTGCAGTCAGGTCAAGTCTAGGATAAACTTATAATTTAATTTAGTGTAATCCTAATTCCACTCCAGCTCACAGAGATTCTTTTTGCCCAAAGTCCCCCTGTGTTTACAATCAATCATATTGATCATGCAGTCCTGTATAGCAGTCTGTATTGCTACTTTTATAAGTTTTTAGCAGTGGAAGCTAACTTTCAAAAAATTCATAGAACCCTAATATGTTAATTTGTAACTCTCAATAATAAATATTTAAAGAAGGGGGGGAGCGTGGGTGGCTCAATCAGCTGAGCATCCCATTTTGGCTCAGGTCACGATCTCATGGTTTGCGGGGTTGAGCCCTGCATTGGGCTCTGTGCTGACACCTCAGAGGGTGGAGCCTGATTCTGATTCTGTGTCTCCACCCCTCTCTGCCCCTCCCCTGTGTGCTCTCTCTCACTTGCCCACTCTCTCTCAAAAATAAACATTTAAATTGATAAGACTGGTGGTTCACTACAGAAGTAGGAAGCTTGGAACCTCACCTTACTTCAAGTCAGTCCGTCACAGCAAACACTAGAATTTCATGAACCTAATTAGGCAACCACTGTAATATAACATCAGTGTCCAATTTTTGTAACCTCCTCACACAATCTACAGTCTCCTCCACTAACAGACTGCTTAGGGTTTAAAATGATCTTTTTAGTCCAGTTGTTCCTAACTCCTAAGTATACTGCACTGGCCACTAACATACACTGCCCACAAAAACGGTTTGGAGAGAGAGTCAGAGAATGTTAATAGCTCTGATCCTCTGTGTTTATGTCACTTCCAACATCACTGGATTTCTTGCTGTGTTTTCAATAATCAGTCCCTTTGCATTTGTGGTTAATGAGGATTTTAATATATTCATAAATCATATTTAAAAACAAGCGTACAGTGATGTCAATGAAATAGCATGGAGTAAGGAATTCCAAAAGCCTGTTCTTCCACACAAACAGCAAATAGGGGCACCTGGGTGGCTTAGTCGGTTGAGAGTCTAACTCTTGGTTTTGACTCAGGTCATGATCTCACATTTTGTGAGTTTGAGCCCTGTGTCAGGCTCTGTTCTGACAGTGCAAAGCTTGCTGGGGATTTGCCCTCTCTCCCTCTCTGCCTCTGGCTCTCTCTCAAATATTTTTTTTAATGCAGCAAATAAAGTGGCAAAAATTGTGAATATCAACTTCATGAGAACTCTAGAAACTAAGCATAATTCACAGCAACTAAGAAAGGAAAAAAAAAAAACACATACACACCTTTGACAGCCTGGCCTCATTCCCTGTTTCCCTTCTCAGTGGCATCTTGGAAGACAATAGCCCACATTCTATGTATAGGTTCCTAGTACCAGAGGAAGCAAACGGGACCTTATTCTCAAAGAACTGAGGTTGATTGTTTAGCCCTGTATCTTGGCTTCCTCAAGTACCAGCTCAAAGACTTGCCTTTACTTTGCCTAACCTAGAACTCTCCCAAACTGGAGGCAACCACCTGAGGGGTATTTTTCAAAAACGCTTACAGGTAAATGCATTAGCTGCTACCACTGGGGCAAGGGGAACAGTTGGGGTAAACAACAGAAAAACTGAAAAGCGTGGGAAGAAAGGCTGGGGAATAAAGAGAATAAGGACTTTTAAAAACGTCCACATAGCAATCTAGTTGGCTCAATACATATAAAGAGCTCAGTGAATTCTCTAAAACACTCCGAGAGGCTCTAAACTTTCAACTTTGACTTCAGATTCTCCAGAAGCAGAAAGTGAAAGTTATGGTAGAGTTCTATGTAATCTGGCTACAAGTTGAAGGTTTCCCCCATCACACATAGCCTATCTGCTAAAACCAGGATACTTTTGGGAAGAGAGTTTAACAAACTCTGTCAAATCACGAGCTGACCACTACGATAACAGAAACAAGACTACAGTGGACACGTGTGACGAGGAATACAGACTCTACAAAATGAGTTAAAAACGTCACTAAACCAACAAACAACTAGAACTAACAGCAAAACAAACCCTGTAGACAGAGGAAAATCAGATTTCCAGAGTCGCCCTTCTATAATGCTAATTCTTTAGTCCCATCTACTGCTGAGAATAGTACCTGGCCCTGAACACCTAGGAAGCCTGATCAGAGAACCTAAGAAAACACAGAGCCATCCTACAGCCTTGCTTAGGAAGGAAGCCGAGCCAATCCAACTATTCTTAGCCAGTGGCATCCCTCCCCACATGCCAACCTCAGAGCTTGGGCAGTGGCATCACCCAAAACAACCCAATAGCAAGCCTCACCTACCCAAAGAGGTTACCAACAGACATGTCCAGAAACCCAAACTAAGCTGACTAGTGAAGAATTGTCTCTGTCAAACTGAACCTGCCAAGTCTGGAAGAGGAGAACATTTACTCCAAAGCACAGACACCAACTTAAGGAATCCGGGATGATAAAAGCAAGGTAAATGGGAAACCATCAAATGAAATTAATAAAGCCCCAACAAATGACTAAAGAAATGGAGATTTATGAACTGTCAAAAGATTCAGAATAACCTTTTCAAAGTTTAGTGAACTAAAAGTACACACAGGCAATTCAATGAAATAAGGAAAACAATGCATGATAACAGAAGTTGAAAGAAATAGAAACTATCAAAAACAAATCCTACATTTAAAAAAATACAATGAGGGGCGCCTGGGTGGCTTAGTCGGTTAAGCGTCCGACTTTCGCTTAGGTCATGATCTCGCGGTTTGTGGGTTCGAGCCCCGCGTCGGGCTCTGTGCTGACTGCCAGCTCAGAGCCTGGAGCCTGTTTCAGTCTGTGACTCCCTCTCTCTCTGACCCTCCCCTGCTCACGCTGTCTCTCTCTCTCTCTCTCCTAGAAATAAATAAAACATTAAAAAAAAAATTAAAAAAAAAATAAAAAATAAAAATAAAAAAATACAATGAGTGAAACTGATAATTCAGTAAAGAGTTTCAAAAGGAGACTCAACCAAGAAGAAAGAGCCAATGACCTAGAAGACATTTGAAATTATCAACTGATTAGAATGAAAAGAATAAAGTCAAGGGGACGTATTGAAACCAATCAAAAGTGATAGTATCTGTATTATAGGAATTCAAAAAGAATAGAAAGGAATAGACAAGATATTTAAAGCAATAGTGGTTACAAACTTCCCAAACCTGGAGAGAGAAATGGACATCCAGATCCATGAAGCTCAAAATATCCCTGAATAGGTTCAACATGAATAGGGCCACACCAATTATAATTAAATTGTCAAAAGTCAAAGACAAATTATTCCTTTTCTTTTGTTTTTTAAATTTTTTTTTAATGTTTTATTTATTTCTAGGAGAGAGAGAGAGAGACAGCGTGAGCAGGGGAGGGTCAG